GGATACAAGCTGTGAATTCATGGTTCACGAACGCGACAATGTTGCGACTATCGTTCCGAAGACTTTTTTAACAACTAAGGTCTCTTCCTCCCACGCAGTTGATATTAGTACCACTATCTTGTCGGTCTGGGGTGGTTTACACGTTGGGGAAAACCAGCAAAAATTTATACGTTCAGATTCTAGCTGGTTTCAGGGTGCCATATGTTTTTGGGGGAATATATCAGGCCCGTGCTGGCCCTGGGGGATAGGGGGACATATCCCCCTGCGCCCTTGTAAGTAGCGCCCTAAGACTGAGCAAAACATTAAACAATTTATTACTAATCGTGTGTTACTAAATTAAACAAAAGTAAATAAGAATACAAAGAGCACTTCATAAAAGTCTGCTTCGCTTCGGCAGAAATCATTAAGAGATTACTATTAGATTACTCTTTTACAACGCTTGCATTGTCTACCTACTTTTTGACACAAAGTATGCAGTGTTTGTTTGTTTTACTACCCATAAAAATAAAAAATACCACTTTCAATTTGAATTACACCGGAAATTATTTAACCTGTGATAAGATAAACCGTTTTGCTTTACATCATTTTGTAGTAGTGTACATAAATGATTATGACACCAGACAAGACAAAGTAAGAATTGTTTTTTATAGTACCTACTCGTATTCGCACATGATTAGTAGTGAAATATAATCTAAGGACTCCCTATTCATATCCATTTATAAAATCTGATATAAGATCATGCCATTGCCTTTCCCCATTTACTTCTGCAGTAGTTTAATTCTTTCAGTTCAAGTTCAAGTTTAAAGTGCACGCGTGTATGTTAGCTTTGTTTAGTTTGTTATTGTTTTGCTATTGCAACTGCATGTGCGTCAAGGCCAAGGTAAGTTTAATTAATGCATTTTTAATTACACCTTAAATGCATGTAACATTATTATGGAAGTAGTAATTTTCCAAAAGTTTGTTGGTCGTTCCCATTGTGCTGGAACCCCCCCCCCCCCCACCACGTAATTTTACAGGCCTTGCGCCCTCGGCATACCTGGCCTCCGCCCCCTTATGGCCCCCAGCACGGGCCTGGGAATATTACCCCACAAAACTGAGTGGAGAAGGTCGTGCACCTGTAACATGCAGAGGACACACCCAGGATCCAACGTTTTTGAGGGGGATAAAATGTGTACAGATTTAATTATTATTAATTGTTGTTCACGTCCATTGAATTTATCCCATCGAACCGTGCAACTTTTATTTGAAACTTTTTTCGATATCGCATCGAAATTTCCATCAGCATCAAAAACTACTCAACTTTGCCAACTTAACTGAATCTGTAAGTATAATAATAACAAAGATAGCCATGTTATCCTACTCAATTTAAGTACAGGGTGAAAATTTTGTCCGGAACACCAAATATATTTTCAAAACAACGTTTTTTTAAAGAAGCTTTTATGATATCCAAAATTATAAAAAGTTTTCTACCAATCTACGTGCTTTAAATTTGTGGTCAGTGGCGTACTTCTGCATGGTCAAGAGGGGCTTACTTTTTTATGGAAACCACTAGTTTTCATTACATAATATGAAAGACTACATTTTTTTGGGTATAGCAGCATAAAAACCTTATTATATTACGTATTTAAATTACGTTATTAAAATTTAAGAAAAAAACTGAAATTAGGAAAATGGTTGTCAGTTTTTTATGCTGCTAAGTATATCCAAAAAGTATACTTTTTAAGAATATGTAATGAAAACTAGCGGTTGTAATTTAAAAAAATATGCCCCCTTTGATCTTACATAAGTACGCCACTGGCCACAAATTCAAAGTATGTAGATTGGTAGTATACGTTTTATAATTTTGAATACCATAAAAAAGTTCTTAAGAAATGTTTCCGAGATATATTAAGGTCCAGACAAAATTTTCACTCTGTATCTTAGAGGCAGAGGCACCATCTTGAAATAGAATTTTTGAAATATTTAACAGGGGTAAAAAAAGGGGGGGAAGGGAATGGGAGGATGAAACGAAAGAGGTGGTAGGAATACAGCTGAGACGAGTGGAAGTTGATGGTAAGAAAATGAAGAAAGTGGGAAGAGGAACACGAGATATATAACAAGAGACGTGAAGAGTGCAACAAACAGGGAGAAGTGAAACTGGAATTATCAGAACAAAGAGGTGCATGAATTTTAAACGGAAATATGGAGGGGGATAGGCCCGTGTACAAATTTTTGTACCCAAAGCATAAACATCGGGCTGCGCAATATGGAGAATCGCAAAGAAAAGGATTATTGGAAGATGATAAGCAGAAGCAATAGGAACAAAAAGGGTGGAAGTACAATTAGAGGAATAGAAATAACATTTTGTCAAGATTACCAGGAAAGCGGGAGAAGGAGGAGGCTATGAAACATGTAGAAAGAGAGGTTGAAGGAGATCGAGCAGCAATTAAAAAGATTGAAGAACGGGAAAGCGGCAGGGAGAAACGAGATAGAGTCAAGGAAAGGATGAGAAATCTAATAAACAAGGTATGGAAAGGAGGGGGTTTACTCGAAGAATTGCACAAAGCAGTAATAGTTCCGATCTTCAAATGAGGGAACAAAGATTGCGTGGAAAATTATAGGAGAAATTACTATAATGACTACGGCATATACAAAGAGATCTGGAAAAGAAGAGGATGTTGAAGAAAACACAAATGGGCTTCAGAAAAGGGAGGGGAACGATCGGCCGCATATATTTATTACACAGATTGGTGGAAAAAGGATTATAGAAAAAGGGCAGAATGGTCTACGCGTTATTTATGGACTTAAAGGTAGTGTGTGACAGAGTGGAAAGGGAAAAAAGTACGGACGATGGAAAAATTCACAAAGAGTTACAAGACAGAATCAAGGAACTATATGAAGAGATAAGATTGAGAGTAAGAATAGAAGGGAAGGAGTCTCAAGTGTTTTAGCCATGTAAAGGACTAAGACGGGGATGCCTACTTAGCCCAGCCTTATTTAATCTCTACTTACGAGACATGGAAAAAGTATTAAGACAGGGCCAAGGTGGAGGAAAGAAGAAATTTATGGTCCCTGGTATACGCGAATGACGCAGTGATCATGGCAACGGAGGTAGAACAGATGAAGGAACGATGGGAAGAATGGAAGGGTATTGAGAAAGGAATGGAGCTAAATGTAAAAAAAGACGTTGGTATTTGGGAACTAAATTTCTAGTGAAGTTTGAAGAGCATTTTAACTTGAAAGTCAAAGGTTTCAAGATTTTGAACTTTTAAAAGCCGCGATTGTAACGATAATGTTAACGGCGAAGTTTAAAGCCTTTCAATAAAGAAAAGGTCGCACAAAAATAGTTGCACTCGAGAAACTGTATGAAAGGTTCAAAGTCAGTTTTATAACTGAAGTTAATTTTAGTTTAAATATTTTGGGATTCAAGTCGGATATGATCTAAGTTTAAAATTGAGTAATACCTTACATTTGCAGTTGAAACCTGCAAATTTTGGAGGGTGAAGACCGTACAAGAAATACTGTCAAGCACGAATTTAAAAAAAAGCTATTTTCAAGCTAACATTTAAAATGTGACCATGAAGACTGTACCATTTTAATTTTACAAACAAAACATTTCCTAATTCGCTCGAGTAAACCGCGATTGATGGTAACAAAACAGCAGGGGTAAACACCAGGGGAAGTAATTGTACAGAATGGAGGAAGCTATGAGGAAGTACAGGGAAATACGGGGAAGTTCGGGGAAGTACTGGAAATCCAGGGAAGTACGGGGAAGTTCGAGGAAGTACGGGGAAGTATATGGGAAGTAACGAGGAAGTACTCATTTGTTCACAAGATGCGTAATGTGACAGAAGGTGACCGGAGAGGTAAAATCTGGTAAACACTTGAAAAGTAATAAGGCAGTTATTTCTGGGTGCATAAATCCTGCCTCGTTCCAAAAAGTCAACACCTATGATTGTGATTATCTATATAGATACCTGAAATCAAAACCTATTTTTTCACTACTAGCGTCTGATAACAAGATTATTAACCTTTTTTCCACTTGTAAAGCAGGCTTTCTCGCCAGTTGTTCAAAGTAGTTAATAATGTGGTCATTATTAACCAGTAGTCAATAATGAGAACTGTCACGCTGTCACTTTTAGAAATCACAACCTGAAATTTCGCTCAATAAACGTTCAGATAAGTTCTCTAAAATGAATAATTGCCAGCATCCGCCATTTCTACAGAAATTACATAGAATTATCACATTTTGAAAAAATTCGAACGAAACTACTCTTTGAAAATATCTCAATAACAGAAGAAAATACGGCCTTCTTGACTGTTACTTCCACCCACGTAATTGACATATTAAATTAATAAACCAAAAATTCTATTCAACCGTTCACTTTTTTAACAATATAGATCTGTTAATTTAGAGGACTTCAAGTACTATGCGATCAAAAATGAGTTGCTGTCGAGTCGCCTTTGGAATTTTTGTTTACATGGTAAATCGTAAACCTCTCGCCAGGAAAGATTGCCGGTCACAGAACACTTGATCCCGATCTAAAATCTATGTTTTTCTAAAGATGTGAGCGACTTCCGGAATAATATCGTGTCAATGTTGAACAAAAAGACTTTTGGTTCAACAGAGCACGATCCTATCCCGGAAGTCGCTCGTATCTTAAGGAAAAGATAGATTGTAGATCGACATAAGGTGTGCTGTGACCGGCAATCTTTCCTGGCGAGAGTTATACTTAACTTGAATTTCCAAAGGCGATTCGACAGTAACTCATTTTTGATCGCCCATTACTAGTAGTGGAAGAAGTATAGGGAAGTTAAGAGGAAGCACTGAAGGACTTCCCCCGAAGGGGAAGTATTGTACAAATTTTAGGTCTGGTGATTACCCCCTGCAAAACAGTAATAATGTAAAATGACATTTAAGAACCGTTATTCCCAATAGCATGGGAGGGAGGGGAAGAAATTATTTAGGATGCATAAAATTAGGCGCCCTTCAGAAGAGATTTTATCATTTAAAAGTAGACATAGGGAAACACAATAAACGTAAATCCCTAAGTCTACTTCTTAATAACTATTAGTGTCTATGGGTACGTTAACCTCCCTTCCCATAATAAAGAATATGTTCAAAGAAATAATTAGTCTTAAAATTTCTATAAATTAACGTGTTCTCTCCACTTGACTACTTTTCAATAGTTATACAACAATAATACCCAATGAGAAGCCAATGGTAAAAAAGCAAAAACCGTTACAGCACCAAATAAAGATTCAGTAAAAAAAAGCAAAATTGACCCTCGACAGCTCCTCTTACAAACATAAATTCCTTTTTCAAGGTACACTTCCATTATGTATTTAGAAATGATATATTCATTGAAATCGCTGTTTTTCATTGTGGAAGCTAGTAAACCATTGATTTACTGGTTCAAAAAACATTGAAAATTATATCACCTTCACTTTCACAAACTTTTAAAAATAATGTCTCAATAGTAGGTACAATATACACCTTTTAACATTTTTTTCAATAGAATATTTGTAGCAGTTCAAGTTAAATTTTTCAATTGCTTTTGCAACCCCTACATCCAAAGCTTTTATAATCGCTGGAATCAATATGTGCCCAAAAAAAGCAAAACAAAACACATGTGGTACTTGAGTACTTGATATCTGAATATCGCAACCATTTTCCTGCTCACTATCTTTCCCAATTTTTTTAACATACAGGGTAGCGCAAAGATCCACCCTTAATAACTCGGAAATAAACTAATTTTGTGAAAGTGTAATTATTTTTTTATGTATTTTTTTATGGCAGATGTAGTAGAAATATACCTACCTAATAAAAAATCAAAATCTAAAACTAAATTCTCACCAATTGGTAGATGGACTGAACGTACCGTGAACGGATCCTGAAACAAACAAAAAAAACTCAATGACCAACAGTTAATAAAAGTTACGTACCTATTTTAGCGGGGAAAGTTCAATTTATACTACATATAATTCAAATCGGGAATTAGCCATGATCCTTACTGATGGCAATGTCGTTTATATAGAGAGAAACCGCAGTTTCCGCCGCAATCCGCCTTGTGATCAGCGCAAATCGGACGATTATTAGCGATCAATGGTCCGATAATAAATGTTCCTCGCTATATACGTTAAACGGTTCGGCACTGCAAAACCACTTTATCAATACATTTCTGATGGGGTAACTCTGTACAGAACTCGAAACCCCACTTATTCCAACAATGAAAATTTAAATGTTTTTTATGCGAAATTGTGTTTATTCAACCACGTTATAACCAGATTAATGCCGTTAGTTAGAAAACATTCTATTAGACCACGAGCCAATGACACAATTCACACAGTAAATCCTCCTCTATACCTATACTGAATATTAAAAGTAACTTCTGGCAATCCTCTGCGATCGGGGTAAACTACCCTAAAGTTTCAAGGAGGGTAAGAAATAAGTTTCAGTTTAGTCAATGAATCAAAACGAATCTTATTTCTTACCCTCCTTAAAATTTTAGGGTATTCTACCCCGGCAACAGAAGGCTGCTAGCCTAAAATTGGTCACTGAGCCAGTGATAGCCTGTAATAGTTGAAAATAGAAAAAGTCTTAATACAGGATGGCGCATCTATAACGAACGTAGATTCTTCTCAAATAATTCTCAAAATCTCTTTATATTTTACCTTAACTTTGTCTATTAGGTAGTCCCTGTTAAATGTCCATGAATTCAATTTCTTTACTCTTTAACCCCAAGTGCCTCAAATTACACCTTCCATAAAACTATTCTTAACTTTCTCTCCCCTATCCACACTCTTCTTAAGTTTTCACCAAATCACTAAAATGTACTAAAAGATCAAACTCAAATTATTTTCATTTTTCCCCTCAACGTTAATTTATTCGCTCAAATCCTCTCAATTCGCCTCCGCCTCAAGTCCCTATAGAGTTCTTTTCAAGTGTTTCCAAATAAGTTCTCTTCCAATTTATCCAAGTTTTCCTCAACTACTCCCCTCACATTCACTAACAACTTCTTGACCAAACTCTCCTTCAGCTTCTTTACGTTATCCATCTGTAAGTTATAATGAAATTAATGAACTTGAGAGGCCTAATCAAATTACTTTCACGTTTACTGCTTGAGTTCCTTTCAAGTCTCCCTAAAGCTCATAGTTTCTATCAAGTTCCTCTTTAAATTATCTTCATGTCCCTTTGTTGCATTGAAGAGAGTTGAACCTTCCTTCTAAAATAGAGATTTTCAGTCTGATGACCTACTTATTTACTTATTACATATTACATCGTGTAATGGCAGATACAGTACCTCAAAATAAGCATAAATTGTTAAAATGAATGTCAAGGCACATAATTGCAACGTGGCTTTAGCACAGACTACAAAGTTAATCTTGCTCGGACACTTTTTCGAAATGTGACCCGACTTAAGGCAGCAGAAACATAGTGAAGTAGCTTGTACTTCCGCTCGATCGCTTGCTGTACCCCAGAATTCGAGCTTCCGTCTGTTTCTCTAAAGGTGCGTATCCACTGGCGAACATATTTGCGAATAGTTTATGAACAGTTCGTGAACCGACAGTCTTCGTCACGATCATCTCACGGCACAGCTCGCAATCAAATCTTTTGAACTTACAGACAGTTGACGGAAGTTTTGGCGAACATAACGTGAACAACTCGACGATCGCGAACTGTTCATTCGTACACTTTGGTAACAGAGTATCAGTGATCGCAGATTTTGTAATGTTACTTTTCTCGCACCGGTAACAACTGTGACTCAATCGCGAATCGATAAAAAAATCTTTTACTATAGGCAACACTCTGATTGCGAACGAAATCCTTAAAATTTCTCTGCCCTCTATGTCTTATTAATTAATGAGCGCCTACAAAATGGCTTCTTATTAACAAAATCAGACATCTTTAATCGGTGATTTGTTTGCTTAATTCCCGCCCTACGAGTCAAAGACGAGTCTGAGCAATAAATCACATTATCATACGACAAACATATGCTACGCTGCAGTCTAGCAATACACGGCCCTCTAAATTTCCACACACATTCTATGATATGCAATGCTTGAAATGCTCTACCGGAATCTCAAAATCTCTAAATTTCGAAAAAATTTAAATGCAAATTAAAGCTACCGTTACAGTATTCTTCAATTTACCACTAAGTTACCATAAAATTCTGCTCAAGCTGTTAACAAATCATTCTCAAGTTCTGCTTCAATTCCCTTTATATTCCTCTGAAGGTCAATTTTCTGCACAAGTGGCTCTCAAAGTGCTCAAGTTGCTTTTAGAGTAATAGTGGAAACATGGTGTCGAAACTTGACGTAAATTCCTTTATCTCATATTTCACTTGATAGACACACTCCTTTGGTGCACCAACAAGTCTATGACGAAAAGTAAAAGGAAACGTTTTCCTGTCCTTCGAGCGAATTTCGAAGTCGAAAACGAATTACCTACATCAGAACAGTAACACAGATTGAACTGAAAGGCGAAGCAGATCCAATAAAAGAGCCAAAGGGCAGACGACTCCTGGTCAAATAAATGAACTCTAGAAAAAAGAGCAAAGTCGATTCTAAAAACGATACAGCTATCAGTCGGCGTCAAAATTATCTTTAGCTAATACCCACGTAAATAAACACATGTAAGTTAAAAGTCAACACCTTATTTTCAGATGAGTTTAAATAAATCTAACTATCGAAAAACATCACACGCTATCTTATAAGAGTGTCACTGACAAAGTGGCGAACTGAAATAAAATCGGGCAGCTGTTTTAAAACGCGAGCGAACGCTCGTGTTGGATGTCACTTTGATATGAAAACAATTTACATGCGGATGTGAGTGTGTGTAGTCTTACATACCTCATCAAATTTACATATGTAAAACAGGAACGTAGGGCTTGAATCTACAAGAAATTGCCTTGTTTTAATCTATATTTTCGTACGAACTTGGGACTCTTGTGTTTTTGATACTTTCGTGATTTCGAACACGATGTTAACCCTTGTATGACACGATTACGAAAAAGTTAAAGCTTACGATTGTATTTGTGTTGTAAATGTTTATATGAACAGGAGTTATCTTTTCACTAAAACATTGTTCATTCGTCGCGTATCTTTTGCTACCATCTCACGTTTGTTTAATTGTAATTCGTGTAAGAATTAGAAAAACAAATTGACACAAGTAAAGAGTATAGATGAGAGAAGAAATGCTCAAAGTATCAGAAATTACACATGTCAGTGTTTTTCAGTAACGAAATAGTTGCTTTAATGTGTTGTGTCAATTTAAACATATGTTATGATTTGTTTCTTCTTTTTCCATTTCATTTCTTACAATAACTGTACAGGGTATTTTTAGAAAAAAGATTTGCGTGATTGGTTAAATAAAATAATAAAATCTGAATGGTAGCACTAAAGGGCAGATAAACAAAACTGAGCCCAAAGCTCGAAAGAATTTTTAAATTATTATTTAAAAAAACGAACCCCCCTCATTTTAAGTAAAAAAAATAGCACAAATTGTTTATTATTGTATATTAGTTTTTATGATACCTATTACTAGAGCTTTTGGAGCTTTGGTTATCCTGAGTTATACTTTATTAAGGGGGGTGCCATTTGAAATTTAAACAAAAATTTTCTTTTTCCGATAAAGGACCTAAAAAAATATGTGGATGTGGAACAGATCTTAGCCTGTGCCTTAATTCAAAATTTTACCGCAGGCGCGATTTAGTTTCTCTGAATAAAATTCGAAAACCAGTCAAATTTTGAACAGACATGGTTATAAGTTATAACAGCGAAATAGTTAAGGTTAAAGGTATAATCGAGGGTATAATGTTACATGAAACAATAAATACTTTTCAAGTACTTTCCAATTCTTCAATTAATATTCCATTTAAAAAAAAAACGTAAGTTTGATACGCCACTGGAATACAACACGCCAGTCGTACCCAGAAATATTTTAGAAAAATGGGGATGGCGTGCACAATTTTGTTCATACATTTTTTTCGATATCTTCTATGGTAAAGGAATTATGATCCGAGGAGCCTTAATTCTGAAATGCAATGGGCTTATTGCAAATTGACCATCCCTTCGTTGAAGCAAAAATTACCGAATTTATTAAATGAATCTGAATTTTTTCTGAAAATTGCCTGCAAAGCCTGCTTTTCTAGCTTTGCTAGCAAAATTAAACACAAATTGACCATAACCAAAGGCTTCTGTAAAGAACATGGGGACTTTTCGAAGCCCTTGAGCACTCTAGGAGAAGAAGTTAAAGATTGCTAAACTTTTAGGGACCCGTAAGTCTTGAACACTTTTAAAACATGTTAAGAATTTTTGGAGACATTGAGGACTTTCAAAAGAATTTAAAAGTTAAATAAGGCCTCTAAAGGCAGGTTTTTCATTCTTCAATTTAACATATCTCCTATACGGATTTAACGGTAACATGAAAAATCGACCCGTAAAAGTTTGTAAAGACCCTAAAACTTCTATATCTTTTCGGGCCGGACTTACAGACTTTAAACACCCTCGTATCCCCTTATATTTCGTTAAAGGTTTTACCGACTTTTCAAGATAACGGATATATACCTTTAAATATTATAAAAAAGCCGGACACTAAAAAGCCAGTAACATGAAATTCTAACGCTTACCAAAGAGCAGTGGAGGCCGTTGAAAGTTTTTAAAGCACGGTTCTTAAAGTGAAAAGGGGCTACTCATTGGATATTGTTAAAAGTCCTTAAAAACATCCTAAAAGCAATATCTTAAACCCTTTAAAGAACGTTCCTTTGGATACTTTTAATAAGTTTCAAAGAGTAAAGGCTTTCAAGGCTCCTTGGAGGCACTTTAAAACCTTTGGAGGCAGAGGGACTAATAAATATTCTAAGGTCCGATTTGTTATGTTTCGTTTTCACTT